ATGAAAAATATCTGTAGACTACCCCATTTTAAGTAGTTGTACTATTGGTATCCATTGATTGACCAAATGGATCACGACAAAAAAGCTACCTTAAATTCAGTAATGCTTTTCTTTAATTTTTTTTTAACTTGAGCACCAAAAAAAGGTTATTTCTATACACACAGTTTATGAACTCATGAGTTTCCATTTCATCTGCTTCCTTTTTAAAGTATAAAATAAATTCTGCATGCTACTCTCCAAACTATTTTCCTTGTCTTCCTTCTGAATTTCCTTCTATTCTTTTCTGTGCTATTTTTTAAATGTTTCAATAGCCTTTTTTTTTTGGCATCACTCTTGATAATCCCATGTTGTCCTACAGAGAAAGAAAGAAAAATGCACTTGTAACAAATAAGCATAGTCAACCAGAATGTTACTATCCTTTTTTATATTGCTCTGCTCATTTCTCTCTCTGTCAGTTTATACTGCTCAGGATTCTCTGAAATTGTCTTATAATTTTTTATGGTGAAATAATATTCTGTTACATTAAAATGCCACAATTTGTTCATCCATTTCCCAGTTGTCTAAGAAGTCGCCTAAAACACCCCCTTAGATTCTGGTTATTTTTATTTTATTTATTTGTTTATTTTTGGGTGAGGCGATCAGGGTTAAGTGACTTGCCCAAGGTCACACAGCTAGCATGTGTCAAGTGTTTGGTCTGAGGCCGGATTTGAACTCAGGTCCTCCTGACTTAAGGGCTGGTGCTCTATCCACTGCACCACCTGGTTGCCCCAATTCTAGTTATTTTTTTTCCTCCCTTTTAATCCCTGCTTCAGGATCAAGAAGCTTATTTTGACTATAATTATTCTGTCCATGATATTCTCTTCCCTCTTAACTTCTACCCTCCCCAATAATCACTTGTTTCCCTGTTTAATTTCATGAATTTCTATACCAAAATCTTTGTGTGTGTGTGTGTGTGTGTGTTCAACCTTTGTTTGTTCATTTTAGATAAGAGATTCATATGGTGCACATTCCCTTCACCTTTTCCTCTATGTTTGTATATTCTCATGTAATCCAGTAATGAGAAATAGCAAGTTCTACCCCCTTCTTCCTCCTTTCTATGTTAGTGTATTCCTTGTATCCTCCTTTATCTTTCTCCTCTTAAAATCCTTAGAACATAACCAATATGTGTTCAGGTCCTCTGTTTTTCTTATTTAACTGTCTCAATCCCCTCTGAAGACATAAGGTTCTAAAAGGACTCTTGTTTCTTTTCCCTCTATTAGAATCTTGGCACATTAGACAGCTCTGTCCAGTTGCTGAAATAAATTTATCTTTCTCAATTCCTCTGGACTTTTGTGTTTGCATTGCACAGTTCCTATTCAGGTTCAGTGTTTTCATCAGAAATCCTTCAAAGTCTTATATTCTTCTAAGGGTCCATTTTCTCCCCTGTAGAATTATACTCGGTTTTGCAAGATAAGATATTCTTGGTTGTAAATATTTATATTTTGTCTTTCAGAATATTATATTCCATGATCTCTTCTCATTTATAGTTGAAAGAGCTATGTCTTGTGTGAGCCTGACTGTGATCCTTTAGTATTTAAGCTGCTCCTTTCTGAGTATTTCTAGTATTTTTTTCTCTGATGTGAGAGTTCTAGATTTTGTTTATTACATACCTGGGAAATTTTCATTTATGATTTCTTGATATATATGGTACAGGCTTTTATTAATCATGATTATCAGGGAGTCCTGTGATTCTTAAAGTATCTCTCCTTGATTTGTTTTCCAGGTCAGTTTTTCATATCAAATAGCTTATATTTTCTTCTATTTTTTAATCTCTTGATGTTGTTCTAATAGTTCTTGCTATCTCTTGGGGTCATTGATTTCGCTTTTGTCTATTCTAGTTTTCAAGGAATCCTTTACTTGGGTTTGATTCACAACTTTCTCTTCTAAACTATTTATTCATCTTCCAATTCTTTTCTCTAGAGCTGTTGTTTCTTTTTCTTAATCTCATTTCATTTCTTCTATGAATTCATGCACCCTCATGGAAAGTTCATTTTTTCCCTTTGTTATAGATGTACTTTCTCCTTCAGGAAGATTTTGAGATTTGCGCTAATTTTTTATACTAATTAGTGTTTTCTTTTGTTGTCTCTCTACCTTTAGTTCCTGAATTAGGACTTTATGCCAGGGCCAGGCTCTTACCCCTGCAACAGTTTTGAGTGGGATGGTCAGTCTGGAAAGCCCTGTGTCACCTAGGTTCTTGTGTTGACCATCTCCTACAGTTAACTCCTATCAACTCCAACCCCTACATCTTTGAGGTTCAAAGTGCTAGATTATTGGGGATCTTCCTAGTATCTCTGAACAGAGTGCTCATGACCTCAGAGTTCCTGGACCTAAAGTGTCCCAATCTGAGAACTACCAAAAAACATCCTTGTCACTTATGTATTATTCCCCTACACTTCCAAAGTCCTCTTTCTGGGCCCTTCTGACCACTTGGAAGCTTTCTCAGGTGAGCCTTTGACTCTTACTACCTCCAGACACAACAGCCTTGCGTACAACATGTGACTTTTGTCATGCTGGTGCTGACCTTTCTGGAAGAGCTCCCTTACCAATCACACTTGATCTTCTGGCTGACCTTTTGTGCAGGTCTGGGGTGGAAGAAATCATTCACTGTCATTTCTCAATTTCTTGATCTTTATTCCATCTAATACAAACTTGAGGGTTCTGTGGGAGTAGGTATGTGGCACCTGGGCATTCTGCCTCCCATTCAGGCATCCATCTTGCTTTTCAGTCAGTTTTTATGTTTTTAATCATAGAAGCATCCACTAGTTTTTGAAAAACAGTAATAAATACGTGTGAGACATTATTCCATCTTCAAAATGACAGTGCTTTGGTGCATGTAGAATGTAAAGGCCCTTTACAACTGCTCTTTAGTTCCCCAAAGGTTCCTGGTCTACAGATTGGGAACATTTGATTTAATATTCATATTTCACTTCTTTAAAAGATCTATGATTTGGGTGTAGATAATTCTCTCTACTGATACAGAAGATGGCCACTGTTTTTTGCCTTAGTAGACAGGCTTATGAATTGTTACAGCCAAAAAAAAAAAGAGCCCCATTTGTGATGAGCTTCCAGTGATGAACCTACCCTCAGTTAGCTAGGCTGCTCTGATGACAGACTTTTACAGGCTTTCCAGTTTGGTTAGGGGCCCTCCAGAGTTTGTCTTGTGCTAGCCTAGTCTTCATTGACCAAGGTCATCTCCAAGCCAGAGTGTCCCATCTGACTAGAGCCAGAAGATACCTCGGAGATCATCCTGTTCAAATCACAGCCACACAAGAGCTCACTCATAGCCTAAATCTACACAAATGAAATATTTAGACAGCTAAGTGGCATAGTGGATAAAGTGCTAGGCTTGGAATCAGCAGACCTGAATTCAAGTGCTACTTCAGGCACTTAATAGATGTATGACTCTAGACCAATTATTTCACCTCTCCCAGACTCAGTTTAATCATCTATAAAATGAGGATGATAATAGCACCTACCTCAAAGAGTTCTTGTGAGGACCAAATAAGAAATGTGTAAAGGACTTTGCAGAACTTAAAGCATTATATAAATGCTAGCGAGTATTTTTATTAATTACAATGAAAAGCAAGTCCACGTATAGTGGAGTACTAAAATACTACAATGAAGGGTCGTATTTTAGGAAAAGGACAGATGAATATGGACTGTAATTTTCAGAGAAGGCATCATTCATGAAGAAGGTGGGGCTTAAGTGGCTCCTGAAGGCTTTGTACAATTTAGATAGAGAGAAACATATAATTGGTATTTCTTATCTTAGTTTTGCTTCTTTCATATGGCATACTATGGATCTCACAGGGAAGGAAGAACACAAGCTAGAAAGAGGTTTGAAAGGGAGAAACCACAACCCACTTAGCTAGTCAGTAAAAAGTTCCAACAAAGGTGAGACTGAAGGGGAGGGTCTTAAATGAAGTAACATATAATAGCTCATTTTTTTTGTTTTGCAGGCAATTTTCTTTTTTTATTTTATTAATTTATTTCAATTTATCAACAATCACTTCCATATGCTTTTGAGTTTAAAATTTTTCTCCCCCTTCCTCCCCACCACCCTCCCCAAGACGGCACACAATCTGATATAGGCTATACATTTCCATTTCCATTTCCATTAAACATATTTTCACATTAATGAAGTTGTAAGTAAAAATTAAAACCAATAGGAGGAACCATCAGAAAGAGGAAACAAAACTCAACAGAAGAGAAGGAAAAAAAAAAGATAGCAATTCAACTTCCATCGTTCTTTCTTTGGATGTGGGTAGCATTTTCCATCATGAGGCCTCTGGAGATGTCTTAGATCCTCGTATTGCTGAGAAGGGTTAAGTTTATCAATATTAGTCATTGCACAACGTGGCTATTATTGTGTACAACGTTCTCTTGGTTCTGCTCACTTCACTCAGCATCAGACCATATAAGTCTTTCCAGGTTTTTCTGAAGTCAGCCTGTTCATCATTTCTTATAGCAAGATAGTATTCCATTACATTCATATACCACAACTTGCTCAGCCATTCCCTAATTGATGGGCATCCTCTCAATTTCCAATTCTTTGCCACCACAAAAAGAGCTGCTATGAATATTTTTGTACATGTGGGTCCTTTTCCCATTTGTATGATCTCTTTGGGATATAGCCCTAGAAGTGCTGTTGCTGGGTCAAAGGGTATGCACATTTTTATAGCCCTTTGGGCATAGTTCCAAATTGTTCTCCAAAATGGTTGGATCATTTCACAACTCCACCAACAATGCATTAGTGTTCCAACTTTCCCACATCCTCTCCAACATTTATCATTTTCCTGTTTTGTCATGTTGGCCAATCTGATAGGTGTGATGTGGTACCTCAGAGTTGTTTTGATTTGCATTTCTCTAATCAATAATGATTTAGAGCATTTTTTCATATGACTATAGATGGCTTTAATTTCTTCATCTGAGAACTGTCTGTTCATATCCATTGACCATTTATCAACTGGGGAATGGCTTGTATTCTTATAAATTTGTCTTAATTCTCATAATAGCTCATATTTGTAATGTATAATGCATTCCAGTCACAAAGCACATTTCGGATCCATGGAAGGAGTACATGGAAGGAGACGGAGGGCCTGGGTTCAAATCCCAGCTCTTCCATGAGATCTTGGGCAAACCCCTTCAATTTTCTGAGCCTCAGTTTCCTCATCTGTAAAATGAAGAAGTTAGACCAAATGACCTGAAATGCCAATTCTAAATCTGTTATCCTGTACTCTTTAAAATGATAAAACTGGAATAAATGACTTCTAAGGTCACTTCAGCTTCAGAACTCTGTGTGTGTGTGTGTGTGTGTGTGTGTGTGTGTGTGTGTATGTGTGTGATTTAATTATACAGATACCTCAGGACAAATATTATTACTACCATGTTACAAAGCAGGAAACTCCTTATTCTGAGTGTAGCATTCAATCCACTAAGCTATCCTAGAGGAGGGATTCTTAACCTCAAATCCACAGGCCTTCAGGGGGTCCATGAATTTGGATGGAAAAAATTTTATAACTTTATTTTCACTGTTCTCTAATTAATATTTAGCATTTTCTTCCATTATGAATTTCTTTAAAAAATCTGAGAAGGGGTCCATAATCCCCAAAAGGTTAATAACCCCTGGTCTAGAAAGAGATAAGATTGGTGGGAGACTATATTAGGAATACAGAACAGTGTGCCAGAAACTTGGCATGAGAGAACATCACAATGCTGGTTGGCCCAGGCTGCAGAAGAGAGAGTGTAGGAGAATAGGGGAGACGAACAAGTGGGCAGGAAGTGTAATGTAGGTAGAGCCAAAAACACAATCCCTATTCAAAGACTTATTATGAAAAGGTCTGAGTGATTACAACTCAGTTTAATACAGGGCTGCCTAAAAGGTTATAAACCAGAGGGGGCAGTAAGGCAGCCCAGGAGCTGAAATCTTTCTTATAGCAGGTGCTTATTTAGATTGAAAGGCAGTTTTGGAAGATGAAAGAGTAGATTGATGAGACCAAGTAATTAAGAAGTGAATTGCATGCTGGGAATTCTATTGCAAACACTCTTTTTAGCTGTGCAGGTAGCAACCTGAAAAGCCAAAACTTGGCTTGCACTGATTTTTTAAAGGAGCTATAAATCTCGTTTTTAAACATGAATTTCTACCTTGGGATTAAACAGTTTGACTGAGCTGTAATCCCTTTTTAACAAGACAAGAAGGAGGAGAAAGTCAAGGACTTCTCTGAGACTTGAATATTATTAGAAATAGTGCAACAGTTCATTTCTTACTCTATAGTCCAAGTCTAAGTTAGGAAGGGAGTAAGCATTTATTAAACACTATGTGCCAGGCACTGTGCTAAGTGCTTTTACCAATATTATCTCATTCAATCCTTACAACAATCCTGGGACATAGATGTTATTATTATTCCCTTTTTATAGCTGAAGAAACTGAGGCAATCAGAGGTTAAGTGACTTGCCCAGATCATAGCTAGGAAGTGTCTAAGACTGGATTTGAACTCAGGTCTTCGTGACGGCAGGCCCAGTGTTTTGTCCAGTGTGCCACCTAAAAGTCAAGGCAAGGGAGGGCCGGGAGAGTCAACAGAGGTTGACTATACCCTGCCATTTTAACCCTCTCTGTAGTGTATCAGTCACCCCCTATTACCACCCACACACACAAAACATTCTTCCTACAATAACACAGACTCAAACATACATTCATTCCATATGCACACACATATATCCTTTCCTTCTACAAAGTAACATTCTTTTTTGTTGTTGTTTTATTAGTGGTTTTTTAAAACTTCACTTCACTTCCCAGTAAAACCGCTCACTCAGAAATTAAACAAATTGACACATTGATCATGTCTAACATCATACATGCAGAACATCATTTCTCTATCAAAAGATGGAAGATATATCTCCATCAGCCTTCTGCAATCAAGATTGATCAAAACATGGATCTGAGTTCTAATGTTTTTAGAATGCTAAATCAGTAGTTTAGAGGAATTATGTAGATATAGTTTACTATATTTTAGTAAAATATTTAATAAAGTAACTCATGTTATTCTTATGGAAAAGATGGAGAGATATGAGCTACATAATAGTACAATTGGATAAATTCAGAACTATTAGGAGTAATCACTAATAGAAAAATGTAAGGAAGTGGTGGAGGCAACTCAAACTAGCTAATGAAAGTGGATTGTGAGCATTTACACCTTGGAAATCAGCCAAGCTACAAATTAGGGCTTGATTTATTATTTCTTAATTGTCTACCTTTAAGAAAGTGATAGAGAAAATATTATGCAAATTAAACTTAAAAGTATGTCCTGCATCCATTTTTTTTGTTATTGTTTTAGAAAGCCAGTTGTTAAACATTTACTAGCACATCCCCAGCCTAGATCATAGATGTTAGCTTAGTAGGAAGTCTCCAGTGGAACTGCTCTGTGTTGTTAAAACATTTTTTCCAGTGACTTGGAAATTTAAAAGTGATATATACCAGAAGGAATGGCTAATGCCCTGGATAGCAGATTCAGGATTCAAAAGAATCTTAATAGGCTACAGGGGTGGGGCACCTGTGGCCTCAAGTCTACATGTGGCCCTCTAGGTCCTCAAGTGTGGCCCTTTGACTGAATCCAAACTTCACAGGACAAATTCCCTTAATAAAAGGATTTGTTCTGTAAAACTTGGACTCAATCAAAAGGCTGCACTTGAGGACCTAGAAGGCCATATGTAGTCTCAAGGCTGCAGGTTCCCCACCCCTGGGCTAGAACATTGTACTGAACCTAATAAGGTGAAATTTGTAGGAATAAAAGTCTTGCTCTGTTTCAAGAAATCAGTGTACAAGATGAGAGAGATATTGTCATTGTCATCATCATTATCATCATCATAATGATAGCCAGCATTTACCTAGTACCTGCTGTGTGCCAGACACTTGGCTAAAAGTGCTTTATATTGCTTCATTTTTTCCTCACGACAACCCTGGGAAGTAGGTGCTGTTATTGTAGCCATTTTACAGATGAAGAAACTGAAGTAATCAGAGGTCAATTGACCTGCCCAGGTTCACACAGCTAGTAGCAAGGGTCTAAGGCTGGATTTGAACTCAGGTCTTCCCAATGCCAAGCCCAGTGCTTTATCTTCTACGCTACTTAGCTGCATGATTATGTAGGAGTGTGTCTGAATAAAGTCTGAAAGTACAATTTGAGTCAATATGTCCAACATGGCACTGAAGAATGCAATCTTAGGTTATATTTAAGAGGGTACAGTTTCCAGGAATAAATAAATGATGATCCTTCTATTTGCCAACCTGGTCAGATTACGTTGGCTAAATTGTTGTTAGTTTTTGGTGTCACGTGATAGGAAGGATATTAATAAACTAGAGAACATATAAAGGAAGGCAACCAGAAGGGTGAAGGACCTCAAGTCCATGACTTATGTGGCTCCACCGAAAAATCTGGAGATGTTTTGTCTGAAGAAGAGGAGACTTAGAGGGGCAGCTAGGTGGCAGAGTGGATAGAGCGCCAGCCCTGAAGTCAAGAGGACCTGAGTTCAAATCCGGCCTCAGACCAAACACTTGACACTTACTAGCTGTGTGACCCTGGGCAAGTCACTTAACCCCAATTGCCTAAAAATAAAAAATAAAAATTTTAAAAAGAGAAGACTTAGGAATGTACATGATAGCTATCTCCAGGTACTTAATAAGCTGTCATGTGAAAGTAGGATTAAAAATAATAATAATAATAAAATGTTAAAAGAAAGTAGGATTAATTTTTCACTGCCCAGAGGGTAGAGGAACAATACAGGTTGCAAAGAAGAAAATTTAGGCTTGATGTAGGGATATGCTTCTTGCCTGTGAGAGCTACCCTCAAAATAGTGAGTTTACCATCACTGGAGGTCTTAAAGCAAAGATTGGAGGATCATGGGTCAGGTATGTTGTAGAGGAGTTCTTGTTCAGCCATTAGTTGGACTAGATGGCCTCTGAGAGCCCTGATAACTCTGGGATTTTGGGTTTTTTCCTTTACATTATTGTAGTCATTCGTATGTATTATTCTCTTTGTTCTGTTTCTGTTCTTCACTCTGCATCTGAAGGGTATAGATACACTCTTCCTAAAAGCACAAACATACAACTTTCCTCCCACACACATACACAGAGATGGGCATCCGTGAACATATTTCCATTAATGCATAGGCAGTTCCCCCAATACACATCTTGCCGAGAGAGAGAGAGAGAGAGAGAGAGAGAGAGAGAGAGAGAGAGAGAGAGAGAGAGAGAGAGAGAGGGAGGGAGAGAGGTAATGTTCTTCTTCTTGAGTCATGAGCGGAGGCTTGATGACTCATAATTAAAGCAGTGAGAAACAATGCACGTTGTAACTCTTCCTTTATAGATCCTGCAGCAGGGATGTGAACAAACAGTTCAGAGCCCACTTTCATTGGAAGGATATCACTCACACAAAACTTTATTCTCCAAAAGTCTGATGAACAAAGTTGTTTGTTTTTTTTTTAAATGTCTCTACATCTTTCAATTCTTTCTGGTTATTTGCCTAATCTACAAAGAGGCTGGACCAGAACAAGAAATCCCAGTTTGATTCAGAGTATGTCTGATACTTTCATAACATAAAAGGACATAACTAGAGATAAACCACCCCCACAATATTAATGCTATGCTCTCTACCCTGTCAGGAATAGATTATAAATGTTACCACGTGTTTGTCTAAATGTTGGTGAAATAATCAAAAACTATTCTTACTTCATCTAAAGCAGAGTCAAAAGTCAAACAAAGTTAAGGAGTCTAATAACCAATTTGAGCCTCAGTTTCCTTATTTGTACAAATAAGGTGTTGGACTAATTGACCCTCCAAGGCCTCTTCTAGCTCTATATCTATGATGCCGCAGTAATGGGACCTGACATTTATATAGCATTTCAAGGTTTACAAATCATTTTCTAGTGAATTACCCCATTCAGTCCTCACAACCATCCTGTGAAGTACGTGGCAGAGGTGTTATCTTCTGATAGTACTGATTATATGGGGGGAGTGGTGATTTTGCAGCTGGGTGATGGAGTAGATAGAATGCCTAGCCTGGATTCAGGAAGACTCATCTTCATGAGTTCAAAGTCAGCCTTAGAAACTTACTAGCTCTGTGACCCTGAGCAAGTTACTTAACCCTATTAGCCTCAGTTTCCTCATCTGTAAAATGAGCTAGAAAAGGAAATGACAAAACACTACAGTACCTCTATTTAAGAAAACCTCAAAATGGGGTGATGAAGAGTCAGGCAAGACTGGAACAACTGAAAAGCAGCAATAAAAGATGATTTTTTTTCTTTAGCATGGAAAACTTATAGTCAGGAAACTCCTTCTACCAATGAAAATTGAAACTCCTCGTAAGTCCCAGCTGGTTGCCTGGGGCATATAGCCCTAAGTAGCTTCCACAGGCTCATACCTTTGGGATTTGAACTCAGATCTTCTTGAGTCTAAGCCTACCACTCTGAGTACCACCCAGTGTTGCTTCTCTGTGCCCTACTACCACCACCCTGTAGTGGAAATGGAGGATTTCAGAAGTCAAGTAACTTGCCCCTAAGGTTCACAAGGAAGCTTTATGTAGTGTGATCAAAGATACAGAGTGTTCATGTGCTGTGTTGCTGTTCAGGCATTTCAGCTGTGTCTAACTCCTTGTGACCAACCCTGTTGGAGGTTTTCTTGGCAAAGATACTGGAATGATTTGCCATTTCCTTCTCCAGCTCATTTTATGGATGAGGAAACTGAGGCAAACAGGGTTAAGTGACTTGCCTAGGGCAAAACAGCTACTAAGTGTCTGAGGCTGGATTTGAACTCAGGAAGATGCATCTTCCTGACTCCCCGTGCTCCATCCATTTCACCACCTAGGTGCCCAGCAATAACAACGTTGAACTAATCCCCCCTCTATGTGTACTCATATTACAGAGCAACCTTAGGATGCTGCAGCCCAGAATGGCTCTCTCCATCTGTTCTTCTGAGCCTCCTTTGATTTTCAGGGTAGCAAGTTGGACCTATGGACCTAAGATACAGTAGGCAGATAGGTATTTATGGCCTTTTCTTTTTCATTTCCTCTCACCCCCCGCCATGCACAATTTACTTTTCCCTGGGGGGAAAGGGAATCCCAGAAGTACCTCAAGACTTTGCAGGCATGCCAGGAGTCAGGCTTTGACAGTTCCATCAGTTGGAAAAAACAGAAGACATTTTGGGGACTTCCAAAGCATATAAAATATGAGAACATCCTTCTGACTCTTTTCTACTTTTAAGAGAAGCAACAAAGGGATTTGAGCCAAATCAGGGTCCTCTTTGAAATCTGGTATCCCTGTGGTGTATGTGCTAGAGCAGTCCTGGGATCCTCAGAGCCAACTGCAAAGAAAATTGTGAAGCCCGTGAAGTTTGTCTTTCTTTCCAAAAGGTCCCTCCTTTCCCTTCCCCCTCCATGAGGTCCCCTTCTCTCCCTTTACTCTTTCCCATTGTCCCCTGCTGTGTCTGTATTTGATCCACATCTGCTCTCACCCAAGTATGCAATGTGAATTATTTATGCTTCATTGTGGATTTGTCATTAGCTTACCTTTTTCCAGGAGTGTTTACTTTTCAGAACTGATCTCTTATTGTGAAATGAAAGTCTTTGTCCTCTTCAAGGCCTTTCAGACATCTGTGAAGAGGGAGGGGCTTGCTTTGAAGGGGAGGAGAAGAGGGGCCTTCCTGATGCCTCTAAAGTCCCACCCTTCAGGTAGCTGTCTACCTAGGGGTGAGGCTGGCCTTTAAATGATCACCATGGATTTAATATGCCTTTACTCACATAGAACAGCATGCAAAATAATGATTCCACTCCACCATTGTGTCTGTCCGTCAGGGGAAGACTCCTCATCTCAAGATATGTCTGGCTAGACATAGTTAGGACATTACCTTGGGTGGCTGATATAGCAAGGTAGAGTACTGGATTTGGAATCACAGTTTCAAATCATGCTTCTGTGATTTACTAGCTATGTTACCAGGAGTTAATCACTTAACCTTATGGAGCGTCAGTTTCCTCGTCTAGTAAAATGGGAATTTTAATACCTCAAGCACATGGTGATTATAAGGCTCAAATGAAATAAGGTATACAAAGCACCATATAAATGTCAGTTATAATTGTATAGAGCTATGTAAAACAGGGGTGCTAGAAAATAATTCAGGATCAAACCTAAGGGGTTAGGATCAAACAAGGGTCCATCCATTCATGAGGAATTTTAGATAGGTGGGTAAGGAGCTAATTAAACTGGGCTTCAGGGGAATCATTAATATTAATCCTATCTTCTTGTTTAGAAAGAACTCCTTAGGTGCTAAAAGTTATTGACACAGGACATGAATTAAAAGTAATTTTTAGTAACCATTGCTAAGGATAGGCTAAGAAGAATTGCATTGTCTGCCCTGTGACTGAGATATTGTTGTATTTGTAGATACAAAACCTTATTTCCAACATTCTGTATAATCTGAGCGGCTTGCCCAAAGTCACACAATTTTGGTGGGGTTTTTTGGGGGGAGGTTGCCCCAACAATGCTGGTCATGAGGATTCAAACCCTGCCCCTAACATGTGCTAGCCTAGGAAAGTCTTTTAAACGCTATGTGCCTGAGGCAGCTCACTAGGATTTATCTACTAAATTTTAGGAGGACCCTAATGTGTTGGGTAACCCACAAGAAAAGAATGTGAAATGTTTTTTCCTTGTAGGACTTCAAGCAAAGAATTTTGCATATCTTACAGTTTTGCCAGGTCCCAGCCTGCCTAACACATACTTATGGAATGCCTACATTAGTTGTTCACAACTGATAACCCCATGAGGATCAAATGAGATAATATATATATGAAGTTCTTTGGAAATCTTAAAGTACTCATATATCAGCTATGATCATTTCCATTACTGGAAAGAGTTCTCCCAACACCCTGCTCTCCTCCCACCCCCCTCCATCATTCTACCAATTTAACTTCATACCTTTAGTCAGGGAAGTACTTTCCAGTTCCTAGTCTCTTTTTAAAATACAAATGTTCCCTGGAAGATGAGCTCTGTAAGGTAGGTAACACAGGTGTTCTCATTTCCATTTTACAGACTTGGAATCAGAAGATTTGGGTTCAAGGCCTCCTCAGATACTTAGTGGCTGTAAACACCACAAACACCTTAATTATCATTTTATTCCTGAGTTGACAGCCAGCTGGGAACAAGAATGGAGCACAGGCTAGGCTGGAGCATGGGAGGGTTAGGAACATTTGGTACTCCAAGAAGAAACAAGAGGTACTGGCTGGGCCAGTCCAAGAGTGTTCAGGACAGACTTTGCCCAGCCTCAGACCCACTGATGAAATGTGTAAATTAGTTATTCCGTTCTGTGCTGGGGACTGTTGAGGGCTGATAAATTCTAGGCGTTCCCTCAGCTCTGTGGTAGCCCTCCAAATACATACTTCTGACTTCCTGATGTGACTGGCTGGTTTTCATCACTGTGCTCTCATGTCAGGAGAATGAGTTGTTATCTGCCTCCGGCCTTATATGCTGCTTATCTCTTCCCTCCAGCCTATCCCTAAATCTTCTGGGCCTCATAGAATTCAGTCGTAAGGCATAATTTGGTTGTAGGTTCTCTGTGTTCTGTACTGTGCCCACAAGAAAATGAAAGGAATTCGGATTTTTTTAACTTTACTCTCCTTTAACTTTACTAGCTAAAGCTGTTCAGTATCTCAATGTGCAGAGCAAGGAAAATCAAGTACTGACTGTAGAATGAGGAATTTAGTAAGAAACAAGGAATTCTTTTTCTTGACCGAACAGCTTGTTAGGTGCATGACAAGAGGGAGAAAACCATGCAATCTTTTTCACTATAGGGCTTTAAAAATAGAATAGGTGCTCCCCCCATTTCTGGCCATCAGTCCTATTTTCTAAATTCTCGGTTGAGTGATTTTTCACTATGGCTATGCAAGGTTATCTCCCTTTCCATGAGCAAACAGCAGCAAATACAGAGGTTAAGTAACTTATTCACAGTCATCTGAAAAGCTAAAGGCACCATTTGGAATTAAACTTGCAGCCCCTAAAAATCTTATCCAGTGTCTTCACCCACTGAGCAACACAGCCTCAAGGTACCTACTATCCTTTTAAGAAAAGACATAAGCCGGTATTAGCCCGGCCAGACCACTAAGATAAAATCAGAATTCCCCTATGATTTGCTGTGTGGCCTTAGGCAAGGAAGGTCCTTAACTCTTCTGATTATCAGTTTTCTCATTTGCCAGGTGGGATAATATTTACTTGCCAGGGGTACTGTGTGGATTAATCACCTAAAGTTTATCTCATACTCTAAAGATAGATTGTGCTGTTACCATTAAAAAATGACCGTCATCTTTGTTGTTTATTCTATATTCAGCTCCCTGTAAAGCCTCAGACAAGAAATCTAAAATGATTTCTCTTATCATTTTTTCTGCCTTAGTGATGTTTTTTTAATCACCAAAAGTGTGTTCCACAGCAGCATGGCCCATGGTTGTCACCGTCCTCGTAGATAGTGTTCCATTACATTCTTGTAGGCCACGGTTCATGCAGTAGATTATATTTCCTCCTTATCTCTGCCAAACAGGTGCCACTGCTTTCCTGGTTCCCCCAATTAGAAGTATTCTCTCCTGCCTCATCTTCCTCTATCATACTGTCAATCTCTCCTTTACCCTTATCACATTCTATTTTGTATCATCTTTATTTGAGTCCATACTGCCTGCTCCTCCCCTCCAGCAGATGATAAGCTCCTTGAGGGTAGGGATGATATTATTTTTCATGTGGGTATTCCTAGAACCAAGGAGAGAAAATCTACTTAGTGAATATTGAATCTATAGGAGCACATAGAGCTAAAAGGGACCTTAGAAGGCATTTGCTGCAATGCTATTATTTTACAGCTGAGGAAACTGAAGTTTTGAGAAATTGTGCCCTTCCTTGTTCACATGGTAGAACCAGAGTTTGAACTCACATCCATTGGCTTCAGATCCAGTGAGTGGAGGCTTAGGTTGTAATCAAGCCTCCACTTCTGACATTTCATTTGACTTTAGTCAGGCCCTGAACATATGGTAACTGCATACTCCAGAGAAATGGGTTATTGAGGCTTGTTTAAAGTGGGGAGGCCTCCAGCAGACCCATTTGTTTTTGGGGTGTTTTTGTGTGGATATAAACCAAACAGTGACCGAATTCTTAGCAGAGAGTTACCATGGCTTCTGATTTACACCCAGAGGCTACCTGTCATAACTGATTATTCACAAACAGATATAACTTCTCATTTCATGGCTCTGAGAAAATGTGAAAAGGCAGTAGGGGATAGGAATATTTCAGAAGAGGTGCGTTCAGAGAAAGCTTCATGGAAGACATAGTATCAGAGTTGGACAGGGAAGGGAAAGACTTCAGTAGGCAGGGAGGAAAGAGGGTGGCAGAAGTCCATTCTGGAAGGGAAAGACCTCACTGGACAGAGATGGAGGTCGAGGGTGGTAAGGAGGAGAGATAATACGAGCAAAGACCCAGAGACAGGAAAGAATAGGACAAGAATGGAGAGCAAGGACTTGTCCAGTTGAGCTAGAACATCAAATACATGAAGGGGGGACATGTAAGTTAAAGACTGATTGTGAATAGGCCTTAAATGCCAAAATCAAGAGTTTCTACTGAGAAACCACAAAAGATTTTTGAGCAAAGGAGTGAAATGGCCAGAGTACTGTATTAAGAAGATCATAGATATAACCCTAGAAAGGGACCTTACCTCAGGCAATTCTATGGAGGAAAAATCAATCAATAAACATTTATTAAGTGCCTACTATGTTAAGAGCTGGAAATAAAAAAATTTAAAAAAAAAAGGCAAATGACAGCCACTGCCCTCAAGGAGCTCATAATCTAATAAATATACTGAAGTAGAAAAGGTGAGTTCTTTAGACTGAATTAAATAATCTCTTAAGATACCATCTAGATTTGTGATATTATAAATATAAGAAACATAGCACAAACACGCAGCCAGCAAGCACACCATGCAAATAAAATAATTAGTGAAATCTTTGAGGGTTTTAAAAAGTAATCATGACAATAGCTGAAACTAAACTGATTAAGAATTCTGAATTCACCTTGCTCAAAAACCTTCCAGTAACATCCACCCCCAAAACTCCTTTCCTCTCCTCCCAATCTCTAGGGACAGAGAACTAAATGTTTGCTCACAATTGCAAGTTGTTGTTGGCATTAGTGGGGTTTTTTTTTGGGGGGAGGGGTGCTGTGGATAACCCTCAAGACATTCTGATATTCTAAAGAAATGGGAAAAAATTTGGTTTTTCACTTGCCTACTTTCCAATGCAGGTTCTGGTGTTTTGGTAAAATACTTTGCAAATAAGAGCTCTTTGTAAATTGTTTTGTGACCTGTGTGTTTTGTTTGGAGATGGAGGCTTTAGGGAATTCCCAGGCAAGCATACTCCTACCACCTACTCAACAATTTACCTTCCTGGAGAGTTGCCCAGTCACCCATCCAGTTTGGGTCTGAGGACTTAAAACCCTTGTCTTCTTGACCCTATCCTAACTCTCTCCACAAAAAGATGCTGCCTTTAATTTATAAATAATCATAGCCAATGGAAGTTATGGAAGGGCAGGATGATGGGAACAACCTACTCTGGAAAATCCTTCAACTCTTTGGAAAAAACAAAGGAGGGTTTAAGAAGGAAGGACAGACAGATTGAGAATTATTTATCAATTTAACGAGTTATCTAATCAGAGTTCATAGCCTCTCTTGGAAAGAACATCTACCACAGTCACCAGCCATATGGGTTTTTCCTGGACAATTTAAAACCATTGCAGAGAAATGGTGGACGTGGAGGGGGTGGTGTAGAAAGAAGGCGAGCCTAGTTCCACGAGGTCCTCCTGAACCTGTGCTTTCCTCAGGGCTACTCTCGGGTATATTTTACAGAGTGTTGCAGGAGAGCTCCTCTTTTTTATTCCTGCTGCCGTTGCCTGTGCCCAACTGAGCTTTGTGACTTCAGGCCACTCAGTTCCAGAGAATAGAGATCAGGCAGTGGGCAAAAGAGATGTTCCGTGTAGAAGCACCAATCTAGGCTTCTGCAATAAGAGAGCAATGAGTCTGCCCATTAGACACCACACAGAATTCTCTTAGCTACACTGACTTTATTCGCTGCGTAACTAAGCTTAATTTGACTGTAGCTACATTAGAAAGCTGGTATGCTTTCAGCGCAGCGTTCCAGAGAAACCACAAACCTGGAGAGACTCAGCGAGGTCTTCTAAGGGGAAAGCCTTTGTGGTGATTGAAGCAGGTAATTAACCTTGATTCAGCAGTTCTCCTATAAGAAGTACAGCATTACATCATCATTTCATCCAGTTAATCTTGGCATTTTGCCCATTGCTGCAACCCAGAGTGAGTGGAAGATGGATCCTGTCTGTCCCAGGGTTTGCTAGTTTCTTCTAGTTCTGGGGCGTAGTCAATGCCCATGGCCCTGACCCTTCATCCTATTACCCTAGAAGTTGAATTGAATTTCAGTTCTGCTAAGGCACACATCATTTGCCAAACAGATGCAAACAATATAAAGAAGACCTTTCTAGCAGTTAAAGTGGTCCCATGTTGGAATGGGTAGCCTTATAAAGTAATATTTACATATCACTTAGTAAGGTTTTCAAAGCATTTTATATGTATTATCTTCTTTGATCCTCAGAATCCTTTGAGCTAGGTACTATCATCCCATTTTACAGTTGAGGAAACTTAGGGTCACAACAGCTAATAAGTGTCTGAGACTATTCAAATTGAGATCTTCTAGATTCCAAGTCTAGCATTTTATGCACTACACCACCTATTTGAGTGGAGGCAATTGTCATCTGCCCAAGAGATTGAGTTGTAATAGGTTAACCTAGGTTCCGCAGGAAAGTCTGTAGATAGATTTCAGGGGGTCTATGAACTTGGGAAAAATTATGGCTTTATTTTCAGACCTCTACCTGAAATTTATCATTTCCTTCAGTTATTTAAAAATATCATTCTGAGACAGGGTCTGTAGGTTTCACTAGACTCTCAAATGAGTCCATGATGCACAAAAGGGATAAACATTTCTGCTTAAGAGTGAATTCCTGCTTGGCTTGGGAGTTTAGACTAAATGATCTCTCAGGTCACTCTGACAGCTTAGAGATACTCTGATTCTATGCCTTTATGCTCAGATTGCTATGAAGTTAGGGTAGGGCTGAGAGTGAATCTGATTTTGTTTAGCAAGCAGGCTGTGATGTTGTAACTGTTCCCTTTGGCATCAACCAAGATCAGGCCTTGAGGTTGGGTGGGTTACTATGGCAATCTCTAAAGCAGAATCCGTCT